AATTATTATTGGTATTATTATTATTATTATTATTATTATTATTATTATTAATATTATCATTATTATCATTGCTTTATTATAATTTATATAATTTTTGATATTATTATAGAAATATATACTAAGGAGGATAAACATTTTGATATTTAAAAAAATGAAATATAAAGCAATATGTAGTTTATAAATGTTCTGTATAACTATTTACTACTTTTGATGTCGTTTACTTTAATGTTTACTTCTTGTGGTGCTCGTGGATACACAATTACTTTACCACTTTACTTAGCAATTGTGGCATGCACATTAGTTATTTTGAAGCATTTATTGAAATTCTTCTCTGAATAAACACTTGTCATGTTTTACTCCTACAGGTCCCATAGTTTACAATCATGTATTATTCAATTAGTAATAACAGATAAGACTGGCTAACCAGAGACAAGCCGAATCATAAAGATTACGGCATCTGATTGGTTGGAATCGTCTTCACGTGAAACACGCACAACAAATTTCGAGGTTTATAAAGAGCGTGTCTACGGAGAGCCACTGTATTACAACGCATGCTCTGAGAATCTTTTGTCGTAGCATTATTTAGTTGGTCCTTCTTGGGAACAATCTGAGAGTATCAGTCAGTACTGTAAGAACTCAATAGACACTCCTCTTTTGAAGTACTTAAATAGCCGACATGCTGGGATTGAAGTATACAGTAAATACTCCAGTTACTTTGCCAATGGTCTGCGCTTAGGCCCATGTTGTTTGGATCAATTTAGTTCCGATCTTCAACTTCTAAGTTCTATTGAATCATTTTTTTTTACGGGACTAAGTTTGTCGGTCGCAGTCTATATACCAAGAAGGTGGACACATTTTACATAAATAAGTTATACCGAAGTTGTACCGATGTCTTCATCGGCGTTGAAAATAGCGATGAGTTTGGAACAGAGATGGCGGTTGATGGCTGATAGCAGCACGTCGTCTCATCATTCAGTATCAGGGGGAGTGGCGTTCCCCGCCTTTCAGCTCGGTATCCACCCTGCGTTGATGCGATGGTATCCGGCTATGGGGCATTTTAGCTCCCCTAGGCCTCTTGCTCTCTACCAACCATATCATGCATTGAAAGAATTAGACTCAGCGACAACAGTTCTTGCCGCAAACTTTGAGCAGAGGGTTCCCCCTGCGTCGAGTGAACAAACTAGGAAGGGGATAACGAACTTTTCAATTGAGGGAATTTTAGGGAAACAGAAACTCTCAAAAAAAGAAGAGGATGAGGAGGAGGATAATGTAGAATCAGATGAAGCTCAAATCCCAGCGACAAAGCCATCAATTTTTAGTCTAAACAACTCTGAACATATTTCAAAAACAGAAGTGAAACATGAGCCGGGGGTTGGACAGCAAGCTGAAGATCCTATGGCTAGATTTTCCTGGTTACAATGCACTCGATATAAGCCTCCACGACTTCCAAGTAAGTTCATACTGAACATTAACCGTATGCCAACTGTACATTATTGTGTATTTTATACCTAAGGTATAGCATAAATCTATTGCTATATATTGTACAATTATATTTATCTTGATATCCGATTATACCTTACATTGTTCCTATATTTCAATACTTTATTAATACCTATTTCATATGTTTATATTCTATATATAACCACATAATAATAATTACTATTATATATATATATATAATTATTTATTGTTAATAATTATTAAATTTTGTTTAATACTATTATTCATATTGTTGTTAATATTGTAATTTTTTTAATGTATTATCATTAATGGTTATTTCACTTTAGTATTTTTGTTACTTTATTATTTAGTGTTGTTATTATTACAGTATTTTGATTGTTACTTCCAGTGGATTAGTTGGGATCATGTTAAGATTCATTTTGTAAGCATTTCCATGGTGACATTCTTATTAATTAGTTCGTTGACATCGTGACAGAATTGCAATGTCCTTCAGCTAATGAATATTTCTCAACTTGCAATTAAAAATTCAAGAAACAAAAGAGATGTACACCTGTCTCTTATACACATCTGAGTCACCCTTTTCCAGGCCAAATATTTTTCTCATACAGCTGCTAGACCTATAGCCTGTGGCCTGTGGATCTATCTCAGG